CGACGAATAAATCAAATTTAAACGCGTACAACTTTTGCACACATAAGCACTCGCTACTTTTTTACATTTATTATACACGCCACATTTTAGCCGAAAGGAAATCCGCAAGAGACGAATTATTTGAAGGAAATTGAAACATATTATCAGAATATTTTAAAACATTTAACGTTCAGTTAAATTTGTATATATTAATTGTTTAATTAGAAAAATAAGAATAATACCAAATATTTTTCAATTATATTGTCAAATTTGTTCAAGTTATTGAACAAATTCTTTTTGGCTTTTTAGATTTCAAAAATTTAGAATACTAGTTAATTTGACATTTTTTTTAATTTTTAATTACTAAAAATATGAATTATCTTTTCAATTATAAATTACTATATTTATTTGGTCGCTATTAAAATTTAGCAGATATAAAAATAAATCTGACTCAAATATATCTATGTCATAATAATCCGCTCAACATAATTAGCTCATCTTGCTCTAGCTGTCATGTTGCGTTCGGTGCCCGCGTCAAAGTGAAGTGTTTCTGGAATTGCGATAACCTCAAGCAGGACGGAAATCTTTTGAGCTGGAGACGACAGGAACACGCTCGCACGCGTCGGGGTAACTAACTAACTAACGTACATTTGCGTTACGCGTGTGGGAGGCTGAAGATATACGCAGGCCAAATTACAGCCACGTATGTTTATCCGAAATTCCGTGCGGCGCATTTGTATGTTGATGGGTGAGAGATGAGGATCCGTGCCTGCCGGGTTGCATATTGTACACACAAACAAACAAACTTCGGAGACATGATTACACCCCAGGGTTTTGTTCCTCTTAAAGGGGAAATTATACCTGTAAATTCAAAGAGTACAAGATATTTCATTGTTGAAATCGAAAATTTGGAGAGGTTTGATTAAAGGTTCAAAAAAGTTATTTGAACATCGGTGAAAGTGTTGATATCCATGATCTGCTTATTTTGAGTAATTCAGTGCTTTAGAAAACAAGATTTTTAAATTAATTTTTGAGGGAAAAGAATCTTTGAGGAGAGCAAAGTTTTCAATCAGGATTTGAGTCTTTATAAATCCAAAAATAAAAATCAATGCTGGAGAGGCCCTTTAAACATGTATGTGTGACGTCAGCAAGATTCCCGGTTGACACGCGAGCTGGAATTTTGCACGTTAATTAGAACCCTGGCCAGGTGAAAAATAACGCGTACGTCAATTTGTGCTGTTGTTTGTTTATACGGGTTTAATTATTCACGGGCGTTCTCTGCAGAAGCAAGTGTAATTTAAAATTAAATATTTATTCTTATTTACCTGCATTCAAGAAGGAAATTAATCATGATGCCAGCCAGCAAGCCGGCCTTTTGTTTAATTACTCGCCGGCAGCTTTTCCTTCCACCTTGGCGGCCAGGCTGACTTTGAATAATTGTTATTGCAATTTAATTACATTCCCGGCACTCACTCCGTGTGTTTACGTGTTTAGTATTATTGTTTGCAGTTTTAAACAGTCTTCAGTCGGCAGCACGGCGCACGCTTCATCGGAATTAATTAATTAAAAAGTGGGTAGGCAAAGTGCACGACCGCCGGGAACGGCAGGTTGCCTAACTCCGTTTCTCGTGAATCGTCGTGGGACTCAGCGGCGGAAAATATGGCCTGCTGCCGCAGACGTAAGCCATTCAGAACACAATGTTTTAGCAATGTGTCCCTCTCCTAGGATGGATTTCTCCCTTGACAAAAATACAATTCTTTTCTCGGTTATGACTCTTGTGTGCAACTTGAGCTTTTAGCCCACGGTCGGCGGCCGGAAAACGAACAGAGAAAACTCAAGTCACTCGGCTCATTTTTTGTTGTGCAAAAGTTCACGTAGCTGCGCGCAGCTGTCTTTGTGCCGCACCATCTCTCTTTCTCCTGCACCGCTTTTATTCGCGCCGCTGGGCTTGTGAGGATTCCCCAAGTTTGGCTTTCTCGTTTCCGACTCTCGACCATTTCTGACCCACTTAATTCACTTCTTGTTTAATTGAAGTTTCACTTTCTTGACGAGCTCAGAAACTAGAAATAATATAATCTATGAAACGAATTAACTTTTTGGAAAATTCAAAAGGGAAAAAATAATAATTTTAAACATTAATTAGACGATTAATTATTTTCACAAGTGTTTCAATACAAGAAATTAACTGTTGACATGAAAGTCGTAAGTTTATGTAGACATTTTTTTAAACCAAGTCTCATTGCCGGTCCAACAAAAAATTAGCACAAATTAAAAATGATAACATACTATTTACATGTACTAATTAGTAAAATCATTATTTAATTATTCCACTTTTTGCTTCTGACTCCAACCGAACCCTAAAATAAAGCAAAATTGAAATCTCCAAGCATCATATTTGCAATTTATTTGCAACCATCGATAAATTCGTTGAATTACTCTTATTTTTAAGTATTCCTGCGAGCAGACCACATTATCAAATTCCTTTCCGCTCGAGTAGTTTTTAATTTAAAAAATCCAGACATCAAAGTTGCCGCTTATTTGCCGTCACGTCCCGACTTTGTGGCTTCACTAAAAAGAGTAACTCTCTGCAGAGGAAAAAAAGTACACCTCCGCACTTTTAATTTTGTCGGTGGGCGAAATCGTTGGGCTCAGTTGGACCAGACAAATAGCTGAACATTAAATAAACATCAGAGGAAAGCAATAACGAATATAGAGAGGCCAGCAGCGGCCGCCTACACACATTCATCAAAAACTCGGCTGCTGCTTTGCCATCGAGAGCTATTAATATCGATTTCACGTTAAATAACAGGTGAGCGCTGAAAGGCGGCGGCGAAAAAGACAATTAAATCGAGGAACAATTCCCCGGCTGTCACTTCTACGTTGGATAAATTCGGGCTTGTCAGCCCCCGAGTATAATGTTCCGCGCTTTTTTTTTTGAGCCAGAAATTTTTATACACGTCGCGTGGTGGCGACGGCAAAAAGGAGCCAAAGTGCAAACTGCGATTCATCATTTCGGTGACACATTTTTCATTTCGAGCAAACGGAATCGCTCGGCGGCGGCGGCGAAAAAGCGTCAGGGCTGTATCATGCTTCCTTCGTTCGTTCGTTTATTAGCAAAAAAATTTCCACCCGCTTATTTCGGAATGCGGTGCTGCCGAGAGAAGATTGAGGTGGTGTAAATTTGATATCGGCGGCGGCGATGCATGAGCCGCTTTTTGTGGCGCTGCGAGCTGGAAGATTGACAGAAGCTGCTTTTATCTAGCCAACGTTGGCAGAGGAGAGGCTCGGGATATTATTTTGCCGTCGCCACAACAACAATGTCGCGATGCGCAATTTTTGCATTTTGAACAATTTTGCAATCTTGTGGTAAAATGTGAAACAACTGGCGGATGCTTATCGTGGGGAGAACCACAAAATTTTATTTATATTATTAGATCAAATAATAATAAAATATCACAAAAAATCGTTTGGAACAATTTTTATTGCTGAAATGTACACAAACCTTTTTGCACAACCATTCTATGTATAACAGAATTTTCAATAATTTTAATTGAAAATTTTTAGTTTTTTTTTTAATAAATGACCTAGAAAATAAATATTTAAATATCAAATAAAAGAAATAAGATTTGTAAGTTTAATTTTTTTATGAACTAATTTATGTTTCTTTTTTCTCAGTGATGTTAAAAAAGATTTTAAGAAAAAACTGTAGAATATAATATTAATAAGTTAATATTAGTAACCGAAAATTATAAGAATAAATATTAACATAACATATTATTTATTTAAAATTTATAATGTGATATATTTATTAAAATTTGTTTTTTGTTTTTTTTGTATTTATATTAGTTTATGTATTTTATTGCATTAAATGTAATAAGAGAAGATAATTTTTTTAATTAAAAATTTTTATAAATATATTTTTTTACTAACAGGTTAATGTTGATTATCAGTAAAATGGAAAAATTCATATAGGTTGGATAAACGTGTATTTCTATCACTTAAAAAATATGTACTTGAATAGAATATAATTATCAAATTTTTAAAATTTTACAAAACTATTTTTAAGATTGCATTCTGCATTAGATAGTTATTGTTTTTTAAAGCTAGTTTATTTAAAATAAAAATAAAGTACATTTGGACACAAAGTTAAATTCCTTCTGCAAACCTTTCCAATTGCGCCATAAAGAAAAGGAGAAAATTTTCCACCTCACTGTCTAGCGTCAACTGAGAAGTAAGGCGAAATTTTCCATTCGCGGCGGTGAACTCTTCCTGCCATGTAGTTTAATGTGCTCTGAATAGTGAAACAAGAAGTACGGTGAGAGAAGGAAAGCAGCAGAGGCTCTCCCACGTGTTTGCCCTCGCATAATAAATAAAAGGAGTGCCGTGGAGAATATTGTGTAAGTAGCTTTGAGGGAAAAGACTTTTGTGCCTACACTTTTTTGAAAGAAAAACTGGACGAATTAAATTTGTTCAATTTTTTCCCTGCAGCGATCGAGAGTGTCCTTTGTGAAAATCATTCTGGCAAGCAAGGGATATCTTTTTCGACGTCAATAAAAGCAGAGAGGAAAAGAGAGATCGGAGCTTTTTGTTTCATTGCTGTGCCAGTCCAGCCGATCGTTTAGCCTCGCTTTTTGCGAGCTGACAATGGCAATAAAGTATATCATGGCAGCTTTGCCACGACACCTGTCACTAATTACAACAAAGGAAAGACGTTTATTGATAGATTTTGATGCCGATATCATCAGTTGGATTGGAAACATAAAAATCTATCAATTGGAAATTTTTGTAAGAAATTTGTTTAAATTATATTTTCATTGGATTAATATCTTTAAATTTTAAAATTTTCATTTTTAATTTTGCTATGTTTCCTCTCCTTTAATTTCTACTGCTAATAATTTTGATTTTTTTTGCAAATTCAAACCACCCATTTGTTTGCTAATTTAATAAAAAATAAGTAATTTAGGTTTTGTATTTCATAATTATATTTTCCATATTACTTATTATTAGGAAAATTATACGTGATACACATTTTTACCTACTCTGAAATTTGAACCAAATTTAATTTCATTTTCAAATCTTATAAACTTATTTTAACTTATTTCACTATAGTAGAGTTTAAAAAAAATCCCACGTTTGCTGACCTTTTTGGCGGTCGAGCTCATGAATGTTTTTGGTTTAAGCGCTTTTTACTTCTTTTTTTCAAGCGTGTTGTTGCATTTCACCAGTTTTATCCGCGTGACGCTGCTTTTAAAGCGCGTTTGAAGTTCACCTTGACTCGTTACATTGCGAGTTTACCCGCACGTATGTCCGAATTCCAGCGGCTTTTTAGGGACCATTCTGGACGAAGCCGTGCGTCACAAATGCTGTTCAAAAAATTCCAAGGCTCGGGAAAGAGTGTTTCTCAGAGAGCTTTTTTCTCGGTCGAAAGACTGTTTGCCGTGAAAAAGGGTCGTTTTGTTGGTGCTGACATCCGCTTGTCAACTCTCAGCGCTGCAGCTTCCGTGCACTTTTCAAGTGGCTCTGAAAGTGATCCTCTGTAATTTGATAAACATAACACAAACTGGAAAGAGTGGAAAGCGATCTTTGATGTTTTCTCTTTATAGTGGTGATGGATGGCGGAGGCGGAGAGAATGAGCGATTCACCAAATTTTATTTCGTTAACCTCATTTCAGCCTTTTGAATTTTTGGAAATCAAACCTATAAACAATAATTAACTTCTACAAAACTGAATCAAATCAATATATCGTATAATTATAATAAATTTATCTTACTAGCAAAAATATTCACAATTTTATGGAAAATAAAAATAACATCACGGAATCTTTAAGAAATTTTATTTTAAGGATTGCAAACTGTTATATTGTGGTAAATGTTACCATACAAATCAGCTGCTCTTTTTATTTCTTTTCAATTTTCAATGAACCCACCTGTGCGAGGTTTCAAGGTTTGACTCCATATGCTAGATTTTCAGCTCTATTTATAATTGTTGGCTTCTCATTTGCCTCGTCTCAACATAATATTGTGTTTATGCACGTTTCGGAGCTCCCATCTTTTGTGCCCCGTTCTCGCTGCCGCTCTGTAACAATAAATATATATAACATGCAGCCGTGCTTTCTCTGCTCGAGCTCGTATACTTCATTACGTCTGTGAAGCAGCCGAGTTATAAATTAAACCACAACAGTACTTTGTGTCTGGCTCTGCTTAAAGGAAATACACACACCGCACTGTCTAATGGGGCCACACCAGCAGCCAGATAAGACGCAACGGAATGCACAGCAAACCCTATAACGGAAAAAGTGGCGGGAATCCGCGGAATGGCTTCGCCGTCCGAGCAATATGCCGGCCGGACACACGAGTGAATTAAAGAGCCGCTGGCCAAGGCTGCTCTGCGGCTGTGTAATTGCACCCTCTGTGCACGCCTTTAATTGAATATATATTCTCAGCAGCTGAGCAAACGTTCCTGCGGGAGACAGCGTGCGCAGTGATGAATGACACGTTCAATCTGCAATTATAACTAAGAACAGCTTTTAATTTGTCTAGTTATTTAAATAAAATAGAGATAATATATAATTTTAATTAATTTATCTTTTTAATTTGGTTTATAATGTTATTATTATATTATTTTTTTTTTATTTATTTAGTGATTAAAATAATAATGAAAATTTTTAATCAAAAATCAAAATTATAATAACTACGCAACAATTTATCAATTTAATTACACATTTCTTTAATTGATCATTACAAATTATTTGAAACGCTGCCTAATTGTTATTAATAAAAATTTTTAACTAAAATTATATAGGACGCAATCACATTTTTTTTAATGAATGAACTGAATGAAGATAAATCATTCAATTTTGAATGGTGATGATTTAATTGCATTTTGATTCAACTCGATAAATAAATATCTGGAAACAATAATTAATTCAACTAGAAAAAAAGTCAGCCGAGGTGTACTGTGGCTTTTGGGGTCAGATTAATCTTTGAAGTTCCAGCAAAATGTTTGCTTAGTGTTGCTGTTTTTCCTATAGTTCAATGGTTTCCCTCCCAACAATTATTTTACTATTTAGAGATAAATTGTTTTATAACAATTGGAAAAAAATAATTATTTTATATGAGACCAAATTCAAACAACAATATTTGCCGTGAATTTCAAATCGACAATTAACTGCTAAACATTTCACCAAAAAGATTTATTTGTAGAAAACACACGACGCATTTATGGTCGTCCGCACATGCGTTTTGATAATGTAAGTTCCTCGGACGGTAAACATGAGCGAAATAGAGTGCAAACGGACGAAACGTTTTCTTGGCGCAAAACTTCATCTGGTTTTACGAGCCGCTGAGAGCTGCCTCGGTAATATCGTAATGCCCTAATGGCACCTGCAAATTGTGCTTTACGGCGTGTTTACTAAACTGCCGCGCGGCGGCGAGCTGGGAAAGCAAGACGGTGTGGTGCAATGAGTTTGCTATTACACAATATGCCCTGTTCTTGCTCACAAGACGCGCTCTGCAGGGAGGAGGGATATAATTTTTTACTGTCGTGAAAGATGATTTTTTTTTTGTTCTGTCCAGACGAAATTTACTTTACAGCGAATAACATATAATTTTATGGATTTTATAAGAACTCGACTGGTTGTTTCCTCATTACTTCTAATAACGCCTTGTGCTTTAGGAACATTTTTTTTTATTTCCAATCCTTTGCAAAGTGTGCTGAATAATATGCATGTAAAAACACTTTTTGTCGAAATCACTAATAAAAAAAAAAAAAAAAATGATTTGATTTATTAAATCCAAATATTTATTTCAAGAAGCGCTGAAGCACATCATATAAATTCCACTTTTTATTGAAATTACTAAGGTTCATTCTTAAATAAAAGAGAGCCAATCTGTATTTCATAAGAAAAGATATACATGAATACAAAAATCTAACTTTTTTTATGGAATGAACATAAGAAATGGAATGGAAAAATGAGTATGAAACTAAAATTTAAAAAAGAAGTTTCTGGCCTGAAGTACCACGGTTTGGATATTATTTTTGCATTGTTTTACGTGCGGATTATTATTATTATTATTATTTTTTCTATCTAAAACACAAAACACTTTTCATCTTCAACTAGTTAAGGTCCATCAACTATTGTCTAACAGAAATCAAGCTCCAAAAATAATAATGGCGCATGGCAACGGCTTATCTCTCTACCACTCGAAAGATTTTGATGACGGCAAAAAGTAAAAGGGAGAGAATTTTCCTCCTCATAGGAAGCATTGGGATTGGCTTTGAGAGAAGTTTGCAATCCCGGCCTTGCTCCTTTTTTTCTGATGACAGAAACCAACCGTTTGACAGTTGGGTTTTTCATGGAATTGTTTAATCAGGTCGGCTAATTAGTGCGATCAGATAAAGCGTCGCCTTCCCAGAAGCAGGTCATTGAGACCAAGCGAGATGAAGGAGGAAAAGAAATAAAAAATATTGGTCCAATTTCCAATCACAAGCTTTATTATTATTAGCTTTGAAATAAATTCAATCCCTGAACCCCTAACGCGTTTTCTAAGAAAATTTTTACTCTCTAAAATGATAAATGGAATGAAAATTCCTGAATTTTTAGCAATTGCTGCGAAAATCTTGTTGATTGAGTGATATGAACGGTAAAACAAAAATTATTAGACCAATCAGATTTCAATTAAGTCCTGAGAAGTAATTCAATTAATTTTTCCAAGACAATTTTTCATTCAGTGTTTCTGAAATATTATATAACAACTTCTATACACAGAAGACTTTTTGAACCATTGTCACGAAATCTGGTTAAATGAATGTTGTCTTTGTTAGGTTTAATTTGCACCGCCCGGCTTTTGCTCGTCTCGCCGCTGATTCAGCGAGTAAAGAAAAGGAGAAGAGACTTTGCACGCTAATTACTCCACCGTATTATTTACATTGCTAATTAATTTAACTCCAAAATGGTTTCGTCTCGTCAGCAGAAATTTGACTCCAGGTGAATTGCTCATTTTGCAAGGGAGATTTTGTTTGCACATTTGTAGAATGAGCAAAACAGCGATAATTACATTAGATGTAAATAAATAAAACGTAATTTAGAAAACAAATAAATAAAATCGTCTCAAATTGAAACCTAAATTCAAGAGTTTGCGTTTAAGTCTCTAATTAGGCCGTTTGCCGTCGTGTTTGCGTTTCCTTTCCAGATTCGCCAGCAGGAACGTTTTTGCTTCTTATTTTTAAATATCTAGCGACGTGTTCAGTTCAAACAGCAGTCGAGATGAATAAGACTTTATAAAAGAGGTAAATGAAATGAAACTACAGTTCCTAAAAGCGCTGCTAAAAAGGGAATGCTTTATGGCTTTAAAGCGGCTACTTAAAAAGATTCACACAAAAAAATATGGAAATAAAAATTAAAAGTGATAATTGATAAATTAATAAGACGAAATTATGTCTGACTCTAATTGTAAGTAAGAGTAGTGGTTAAAATGTGGATTTTTGACAGAAATTTCACAACCAGGTGTCTTCAGAACCCTTAATGGCGTGCAAAATTGGCCTAGTCAATGAGAACGCATCAAGAACGAGACGTTATCAAATAAAGCTAAATCCTTTCACCTTTACCTCACCTACGTATTACTTTCCAACCAGAACAACCTCTCGAATGCTCGAGGTGGATTTCATGAAAAATTGAAACCAGGAGAACCTTTTTGCAAAATAAAAAATTCATACCACGATTATTCGAATTTAGAAACTTTTACTGAAAAATGCTGGCAGATTTCCATATTGAAATTAATGAATTAAGTAAAATTAAACTTTTGTATTTTTATTACTGGTTAGCTCGTATTTGAAGAGCATGCCAATTATTAACAAGACCTTATATAACGCCTCGTTCTCAACGAGTTGCTCGCGCTCCGTCATGCACCATATATGACTAAAACACACCCACTTGAAACTCGAATTATTTATACCCATCAAACGGGAGAAGCCCTCGAAAAACTGATCGCCGTGGAAGTTTGTTGAGAGTGGTTTCGAGAGTGGAGCGATGATGTGCAACTCCTCTCGTCAGGCAAACTCTCCGTCTGCCCGTGCAAGTGGAGCTCAAACTGCTCCCACTTTGGGCATCGCCGTTTATGCGATGATCGATAGCAAACCGACACCACTGACGTCACTTTTCATATCAATTGTCGCGGTCGGCGCGCGCTCTCCGCCCAAACTGTGGGAAATGCGAGCTGACCAAAAGTGAGATATATTGTTTGTCATTATCTCTAATATTGTTAGAGACGGAAAAAAGCATCATTATCATAAAAAAAAATAAAAAAATAAATAAAAAAATTAAAACGAAGAAAGAGTTTATATTAGTTTTGTTTTTATATTTCAATTGTAAATTGACATGATATATATGAGATGCAATTTGCTATGCTGTTATAGTAGAATTTACTTTTATTTTATTTTTTCATTTCTTTAAGCAGTTGAAAAGACACAAACAACTATCTACGTTCTATTTTAAGTTGTTAAATACTGTGAACAATATAAGCAAGTTTCATAAAACAAAAATGATAGGCAAATATCTGAAATAATTCGTTTCCCTGCTACTTGTTGCTAGTTGTTTGGGCATTCTGAATAAATAAAAATAATTGAATTCACTCAATATTTACAATAGTGAAGAGTTTTTCAAATTATTGATTTTTTTTTTTTAATATTTGCTGATTTTCCTTTTGGTTTTTTCATACCAAGTAGCAAATGGGGCGCGACGCCATGAGAAAATAATAAACACAAATAAACAATAATAAACAACAACAACAATAATAAAGAAACAATAATAATAATAATAATAATAATAATAATAATAATAATAATAATAATAATAATAATAATAATAATAATAATAATGATAATAATAATAACAATGATAATAATAATAATAATAATAATAATAATAATAATAATAATAATAATAATAATAATAATAATAATAATAATAATAATAATAATAGTCATTAAATATTTTCTTTAGTCAATAGAGATTAAGAATATTAATGATATCAATAATTATAATCACACTAATTTAATTTTCAATAGAGATCGAAAGATACAAATGTGTGTTTATTAAAATTTTTTAAATAACTGATATTTGATAATGTATTATTGTTTTCCAAGCAAATAAAATTAAAGGTATTTAATAATGATAAAGTGATAACAACAATGAACAATAAACAATAATTATAGCTATGTGATGTAATACTCAAATCCTCTATTATGCAATGCAATTCAAATAATAATATAATATAAAAAATTATTTTGATCATTGGTTACATCAAAATTAAGTAAAAAAAAATCATCTTAAAAGTTGTTTTTAATGGTAAAATATTGTAGATAATTTACTGGAAAAAGAAAATTAATGTTTTTACTTTAAAAACAACAAAATCTGGAATTAAAATGTATGAAATAATATTTATATTACAGGAAAATTATTTTA